AGAGAGAGAGAGAGAGAGAGAAAGGGAGAGGGAGAGAGAGACAAAAGCAAGGTCACTGTAAAATGGAACATTCCCAGTAGCTAGTCTAATACTTCAACTCCACGAGGTCCTTCTGACCCTTCCGTCATCCTTTTAGGCTTGGAATACTGACATCTTTCTCTTCTCTACAGATGGACTGTAATAAAGCAGAGAAGTTTGATTTTGTAAGTCCCCCTGCTACTCAACTCCTGGCTGCCTGTCACCATGATGTGCTGTCCTCTCCAGCTGCCCCACATGCCTTCGCTTAGCCACTACTGGGTGCATCTGCCCGTGCCAGAAGCCTTATTTCCAGAGGAGTGGGGATCTGCTGACCTCAGAGATGAAAGCCTCTTGTGTGCCTGCTCTCTGGATGGAGCTGGCTCAGAAGAGCTAATCATTTGGGATGTGTTTAGTAGGGGTCCTTAGTTAAGCAGCACCTCCTTCCCCCTTCTCTTTCAGGTGTTACAATATCTGAACAAAATGGCTGGAAATGAATATATGGGTTTCAGCAATGCCACGTAAGGCCCTGTTCAGAGGGTTGGCTGAATGCACTGTGGTGTTGTGTGTATGTATGGACACAGAAGAGCGGAGGGGAGGGGTTGGATAGAGTAAATGAATATGAATCTTGGGAGGAAGAAATTCCAGAGCTTCTGAGGGTGGTGGTACACACTTATAATCCCAGTATTCAGGGTGGTGAGGCAGAAGGATTACCATGAGCTCAAGGCTAGCCTGGGCTCCGTAGTTTAAGGCCAGCCTTAATTAGGTACCAAGACCCTGTATCAACCAAAAAAAATTTTTTCCCCCAGGGGAACTTTGGCCTTCCAGCTGCCTCTGAACCCCTTCACTGGCACTTACTTACTTTATGAAATAATTTGTTTCATTTTTAATTAGTATGGATGAAATGAGAGAGGCAGAACATCATACCAAAGGGTTTATGACTAAATGCTTGCCAGGGTTCTCTCCCTAGACAGCTTTAGATGTTTGTTTGTTTTTTTAACTATATTTACATTTTATAACAAAGCTGTGTAGAGTGTTTGCTCAGGTTCAGAAGTTTCCTTTAGGCCCCGGAATTTAGCTCAGCAGCATAAGCACCTGCCTTGCAAGCGCATGGTGTGAGTTTGATCCCCGATAACAAAAAAAAAAAAAAAAAAAAAAAAAAAATCCTGGAGACATAGGAGTAGGCAGAGAACTCATGAACAGAAGTTTCCTTTAATGTTACTGGGCAAGGTACACAAGAGGCCAATTCCATCTGACATATGTGTAGGTCTGTGTCCCTGTGGAGATAATATCTCCCTTTTCCCCCTACATCCACCTGTCATGTTTGAAGCACTAAACTGGATGCTTGTTTCAGATTCCAGTCTGAGAAGGAAACGGGGGATCGGAATTATGCTATTGGCTATTATCTCAAGGAAAAGAAGGTAACTGGAAGAGAAGAACATAGAAAGTCTCCAGAAATTCTGCTGGTGGTAGAAGGGTGGTAGGGACTGGGGACGTCAGCTGAGACGCTGACAGTATGCAAGGGGCTGTCACTGGTCTGAAGAGAATGCTTTCCCTTCTTCCTTGCAGTGCTTTCCTAAGGGAGTGGACATGATGGCTGCCCTTGATCTCTACTTCCAGGTAAGCAAACACTGTCCAGACCAAGGGAACAGGACAGATAGACACCCCTCCCTCCCTGGTTCACACAAGGAATGCCAGGGAAGCTGCTGAGAGATCTGAATGCCAGGAACACTGTTCTACACTTTGTGCCAAGTTCACACCCACACTGCACCTTCACCTCTCCTATCTCCACAGCTGTGCTCCGTGGAGGTCACCTGTGAATCAGGCAGTGTCATGGCAGCCACCCTCGCCAATGGCGGGATCTGCCCCATCACAGGCGAGAGTGTGCTAAGTGCCGAAGCAGTGCGGAACACCCTCAGCCTCATGCATTCCTGCGGCATGTATGACTTCTCTGGCCAGTTTGCCTTCCATGTGAGTGTTTTCAGCCCTGCTATCCATCTGCGATGAGCCTACTGCTGAGAAGAAAGGACCCTGCACAATGAAGATTCAGAGGGGGAAGCTCGCTTTCTGCTGGCCAGACAACTAGGCTGAGAGACCTTAACAGAAGTTGCCCAACACCACGTTCCTCAAATCCACAGACACATGATGGTGCAGCTTCTGAAATGCTTTTGTGCAATCCTTCATGTGGCTGTCTCTTTGAGTCTCAGATTTCAAGTCTAAGGCTTTTTCTTTTGGCATGCTAGTCAAGCACTCTACTCTGAGCTCCATACCCTAGGAAACTGTAACTGGGGACCTGTCTCAAGTAGGTCCCCATCTACCTCTATTCAAAGCACCTTTTTTCTTCTGTTTATCATAACTACCTTTATCTGCTTATGTTTGAGTGTTCATTATCATTCCATAACCATCAGAAAGTTAAATGAGACTTGTCCTACTTCTAAGCACAGCAGCCACCACAGGATGCTGTTAATAACTCAGTAAACATTTCCTAAATGTATCAGTGAGGCTTGGGGGAGGATGCCATTAAGAAGCTAATTAACAAGGCAAAAGTTGAGGTGGGTTGTGACCTTGCCAATGCAGTCACTTAGAATAGCCCGCCTTACTTATTTTCCTAGATTTACAGGACTCTCAACTCATCCTCATCTTCAAATTTGTTCCCCAGGTGGGCCTGCCAGCCAAGTCAGCAGTATCAGGAGCCATCCTCCTGGTGGTACCCAATGTTATGGGAATGATGTGTCTGTCCCCGCCACTGGACAGGCTGGGAAACAGCCAGAAGGGGATCAACTTCTGCCAGGTGAGGTGCTCTGCATAAAGTACTTACTACTTTTTAATTAATTAGTAAGTTTATTTAATACTTGCTACTTTAAGTAAATAAAGTAATTTTGAGCTTCTACCAGGTTTAAGAAGCAAACAATATATTTGGTTTACAATTCTAGAGGTTGGTGTCTCTTTTTAACTTCCACAACTATGACAACCTACGGCACTGTGCTCGGAAATTAGACCCACGGCGTGAAGGAGAAGAAGTTCGGGTAAGAGATTTTAAGGATATTTCAGGAAAGAACATTCCATGACACTTCGGCAATACCTTCAGCTGAGAATCCATGGGGTAAGGTCAGAGGGCAGAGCTGAGGATCAGTGGATTCAAAGCTACAAACTCAGCTGGGTATGATTTGTGTTTTAGAACAAGACAGTGGTGAACCTGTTATTTGCTGCCTATAGTGGAGATGTTTCTGCTCTTCGAAGGTAATTCTACTGTAACCAAACATACACAATCAGATACTTCAGGGAAAAGACCTTATTAGGAGGCAATATAGCAAAGTAGTGAAATGCTTTATCTTGAGGTTTAGCCAGAATGGACATAGACTGCCTGTCATATAAGAACTTAATTAATGGCAGTCACTATTATTAACTTCAGTGTTAAAATAGTCCTTAGGAGGCAGGAACCCTGCCTTAAGTGATTACCAACATCAACAAAATGTGCTACTGGGTGTGGTGGCACACATCTGTGATCCCAGAACTCAAGAGGCTGAGACAGGAGGATCATCATGAGTTCAAGGCCAGCCTGAGCTATATATGTGAGTTCAAAACAAGCCTGTGCTACACAGTGAGACCTTGTCTCAAAAACAAACAAAAATTGTGCCATCATGATGTCTTTAAAGCATCATATTCCCATCTGTCACGAGAATAAATCTTAATTTGTACAGAAACTATACAGAGTCTAAAGGTCTTGGCATACACTATTTTACTCTTTCTGATCCTACTTCAGAAAGGACAGTAGTGATTCTAAACTGATGTGGGTAACCCTACTCTTTCATTACCCTCAGGTTTGCCTTGTCAGCTATGAATATGGAACAGAAAGACTATGACTCCCGCACAGCTCTGCATATTGCTGCAGCCGAAGGTATCCTAAAGGGCCAGAGTAAGGAAGTAAAGCAGAAGGCTTTCTTATCTGCCACTTAAAGAGCACCCTCATGTCCTGGCAGTTACAGAGGCAACAACCAGTTTTGTCCAGATGTCCTACAGCTGGCAGTTATACTATTTATTACTGGGTGCTGGCAAGAAGCAAAATGGGAAGATTTTTCTCCTCTCTTCTTAATATATTCCAGCTTCCAAGGGTCTAAACCAAAGGGCTCAGGACCTACACACTCTTATTTTCCTTCTCCCCATATTCCTAGGCCACATCGAAGTTGTTAAATTTCTGATCGAGGCTTGCAAAGTGAATCCTTTTGTGAAGGACAGGTGAGTAGGGTTAGTCTAAGAGGGGGCGGAGTAGCACAGCTTCTCCACCACTGCCCTGCAGCCACCCGTGCACATGTATACAAACATGGCACTCCCCATGTCTTCTTTGTCTGATCATGGTCATTGTCCCTCATAGGTGGGGCAACATTCCTCTGGACGATGCTATACAGTTCAACCACCTGGAGGTAGTCAAACTGCTTCAAGATTACCAGGACTCCTACACACTTTCTGAATCACAGGCTGAGGCAGCAGCCGAGGCCCTGTCCAAAGAGAACTTAGAAAGCATGGTGTGAGCACAACAGGAAAAAGCACAAGCTGGTCACACATTTAACTCATAAACATCAAAATACTATGAAGGGCTGCTTCAGTGGGGACCAAGAAAGCCATTTGGTGACATACACGTCATTTTCTAAGTCACATACTCCAGTCCTTCTGCAGACAGCAAACAGAGAAGGACCAGAGGGACACCTGCAATACAGCTATCTATAGAGACTTCAAGGTATGGCCTAATGGGCTGGCCTACTCAACACTGTCCCAGGTTTTCACCCAGGTCCCCTCTTCTTGCTGAAGAAACAACCAGGACACAGCGATACTTCAGTGAAGGAACTCTACCTACCATGAACATGTACTATTACAGAATAACAGAAACAGGGGCGTATGCATTTGGTTTTTGTTGTCTGGAGAGATCTGTCCCCTTGGCCAAGACATGCTGCTGCTACTGCTAGCAACAATTTCAGACAGAGAAAGTATTTCGCTCTCAAATAAACTTTAATTACACAAGTTATTATTTTTGATAAGTTCATTTTTTCTCTCCCCTAAGGGTATCCAGCTTCATCACCATCATAGAAGGTAGAATAAGACAGAACCACAGCATCAGATAGCCCAAACAACACATATTTCATACACATACTCACTTATCCCACCAGGTTTTCCTCACCCCTAAATAATGCTTCAGGTTAAATGTATTCTGCTGCCAAGGGGAAAGGGGGTTTGGATCTGATGAGACCCAAAAACAGATGTTGTAAAACCTTAGGTCTTCTTCCTCTGAACTCCCCCACCCCCTACTACCGGGGAATGAACTCATGAACTCACAACCTCGCCCCTGCCAGGGCTAAACACCCAGCTTCCTCTGAATTTTCAACTGTAGCAGAAATTAAGATGGAAGTTCTTAGGAATAAAGTTGCTGGCACTAATCCCTTAGTTATCATCAGTCTAGTGTCTCTTCTCTTTGGTCACAGTTGTAACTGTCACAATGATTATGACAGACTGGCTAGGTGTCAGGATGAGGATTGCTGCAGTCATGTGAGTCTATGCATGGAGGTACTAGGGAAGGAGGACTCTTCTCAAACCTACTGAGTCATTAAAGCATTTAGGGAACCAGAGTTCACACTCTGTAGGTTGTAGAGAAAGGTTCAAGTCACTGACTGCACAACTCCTACAGCCAGAGGTAGAAATGATTCACTCTGGAACCTCCAAAAGTTATACATGGGTATAAGGAAGGAGAGGTAATACAGTGATGAATACATAATTCAAATACAACTGAAAGACAAGACTCCAGAGCCAGGCATGGTGGCACGTGCCTGTAATCCCAGTACTTAGGAAGCTGAGGCAGGAGAATTACCATGAATTTGAGGCCACACTGCACTACAGTTTAAGGACAGTCTGAACTACATCGCACCAAGACACTGATTCAAAAAAAAAAAAAAGGCTCCTGAACTGAATAGTCTCATAAAGACCTGGCAATGGGCAGGCAAGGCAGAGAAACTAAACAAACCAAATGAGGGAACATATATCCATGGTTGTCCAAGAAACTGGCAGTAGTCTGAGGGGAAAGCTTGGCCATAGGCCTAGCTTTCACAAGTTAGGAGACAGGAGACAATGACTTAAGATAATGTACAGGGCTTGACACTGAACTGTGGGAGCTAGAGGTTGTTTGATGCAATGTAAAACAGTTGCAGACACTTTAAACAGAAAGCTGGCCAAGAGCATTAGGTACTCCAGTAATGGACATGCTAGAGACCCTTAGGCACCTCAAGTCCAGAATGAGTCAGGAGCTCTCCATCCCAAAGAGCAAAAGCAGGCACCACTGGTCCCCGGAAATCTGTCTGTAGCGTGCAGACCACAGAGACCTGGATCACATCCACCAGGCTCAGCTTTTGGGCCTCATACTCCAGCAACAGTCCCACTTTCTCTGGCTGTCCGATCCCCTCGATTGGGGCTTTCTCGTTGGCCAACATGGTGTGCCACTTGCGCTGGGCATAGGAGAACACCCATGATCGATCATCGGCACCGATGCAGCTATCCCGGGATATGTCCGCATCTGCCACTCCTATTCGGAACTGTTGGGAACGCTTCACTGTCACTTCCCAGTAGTGTCTGCCACTGGTGACCGCTGTGTCTGCCAGCACGACTGCCCACTCCCGGAACCGCTCCACATTCAGGGCTAACTTGGTAGGCTCCAACCCCACCAAGCCATATTTGACACCTGTGTCAGCTCTGAAAAGTGCCAGACTGCTGTGGGCGGTTTTTTCTTCCAGTTTGAAACTGATGCCTGCGGGCAGAGCAAAAAGACTGGATAATGAGAGGAGTAAGATTCTAGGGCTTGGTGATAGGTTTCCATCTGAAGCATTCAGCCCTAAGATCACAAGAAATAGTAGGCAGGCAAGAAAGAGAAGGCTGTCGCTTTAGTAATGCGAAGCCCAAGAAGCCGAAAACCTCGGATTGTGAAGCTCTTGTATTAAAATAACAAAACAAAACCCCCCAAAAACAGTGCCCAAGGTTTGGATTCTCAAGTCTAAGGCAGATAACGGAGAAGACTCCAGAGGGCTAGAGTTCTCTGGACGGGCTCCAGGAGTAAAAGACAGATTATTCTGGAGGTAGATGAGAGTAAAAAGTGATACCCCTACCTCTCCAGGATTCCCCAGCGGCTACTCCCCATCGTTTCACAGCCCAGCGGCACAGGCGCCAAGAACGCGCAAAGGGTAGCGCCATCTTGCGCCACGGACGCACGGGACACGCCCCCGCGCCGAAGACTCACTCAGGGAACATCCGGCTGCTGCCGGAGCAGGTGGTGCGCCGAGCGCGCAGCGAGATGACGTAAGGGGTCCAACGCCACAGGGGAAGCATAAATCTCTTGATGTTCTGTTGCCGTTTGTTGAGAGTTAGGGCGGTGAGGGTTCCCGATCATATTTGAATTAAACAGTACCAGTCGAAATAAGGCGTAGCCAGATGGTTACCACCATATATTCTAGAATTAAGCAATAATTAATGACCTGGGGTTTAGTGTGTGGCTTTGGGCAAATAGCTTTAAGTTTTGTGAGTCTGAGCATTTTCATCTGTGAAACAAATAATGCAATCCATATACCTGCGTATAAAGAAGTCCTGGGTTTGACCCTCCGCATCGCAAAATAATAATAGTTGTAATAATTTCGGATATAGATTGGCAAATAGCAATCACTGAGTGGCAGTTTATAGTAAGTACTAGGTAAATACATGTTGGTTTTGTATTTTCAGGGCTCAGAAAGGATGGTTAACAAAAAGTATCATGGTGTTTTTATTTTATTTTTTCGAGACTATCGTTATTAATTCAGGCTGGCCTTGAATTCATGTAGCCCAAGCTGGTTTCTAACTTAACAGCAATCCTGCCACTGCCTCCCAATGCTGGTGTAGGTCGGTGGTATGGTATTTTGGTTCATCATGGGACAGGTATTAAGTTATTACATAAACCCTACATTTAACATTTTGATCTGCTTTTGATTGTGACTCTTGCTTTCTAAATGTTTCACTCTGCCTTCTCAGGGTTATGATGAGCTCAATATCAATGTCCTACCTCCACCCTCTCACCCCTCGAGTAATTTTAGATTTTTATTTTATTTTTTTGATACCAGTAGTGGAATTCAGGATATTGTGCTTGTCAGGCTGGCAAGCTGCACCCCATGATTTTAGATTTTTAAAAGCCTAAAGTAAAATGGTGCATCCCTGTAATCCCAGCACCCGAGAGGTAGAGGATTGCTACAAGTTTGAGGACAGCCTAGGCTACATAGTTAGGACTGGCCTGAGTAGCTAGGCTCTGTCTCAAAAAACAAAACGAAAACACCTAGGCTGAGAATTTAGCTCAGTGTTGTAAATACCTGCCTGACAAATGTAAGATCATAAGTTCAATCCCTGGTACAAAAAAAAAAAAAAAAAAAAAAAAAAAAAAAAAAAAAAAAAAGAAAGAAAGAAAGAAAGAAAAAGAAAGCCTAAAAATTTAACCAAAAGTTCTGCTGTCCAAGTTCTAACAACTATTTCAGTGGACTTGGCTCTGGTTCAGATCATTGACATTTGTGGCCTCAATTTGGGTTTGCCATTAAAACAAAAAAAGTTTGAATGTATAGCATGGTAGCTCCATCCATCTGCTTCTGTTCCACAGTCAAAGTAAAATTACTAAACACAAATCAGATCCTGCCACTCCCCTACCTGCATCAAATTTGCTATATTTTTTCTGCATTAGATTTCCTTGCTTGTTCATAGGTTTTATGGGATGATTGCTCTTCTTTGTTCACTTCTTTAAAAAATCTTTTTGAGATAGGGTCTTGCTATGCAGTTCAGGCTGACCTTGAGCTCACTTTGTACTCCAAGCTGTTCTCAAATTTGCAATGATTCTTCTGCCTCAGCCTCCCAAATGCTGGGATCACAAGTGTGCACCATTATGCTTGCTTTCTTGTTTGTTTGTTTTTGTTGAGTTCTTTTTGTTTTGGGGTTTTTTTGTGTGTGGTTTTTTTGAGACAGGGTTGCACTGTGCAGTTCAGGCTGGCCATGAACTCACTTTGTAGCCCAGGCAGGTCTGGAATTTAAAGTGATCCTCCTGCCTCAGCCTCTGAGTGCTGGAATTACAGGCATGTGCCATCATGCCTGGTTCTTTGTTCACTTTAATAAGAATCAGGTATTTTTGTTCAAAGACCAAAGATCTACCTGGGAGACGGATGAGAATATTGGTGGTTGCAATTTGATGCAGTGTATTACAGTTGAAGTGAATTAAAGATGCCCAGAAATTAAGAGGGAAGCCTCTTAGACTATGGGATAGTAGCTATGGCTTTGGCCCATAGCTACTACAGGCCAGAAAGTGCAGTCTATATATCTAGCCAGTTACCTAGGTGTCCTTGATTTCTTTGTCTCTCTCAACATATCTCATTGTCATTGGCTTCCAGTTATATTATTTCTCCCAGAGACTGCAGAATAGACTTTCTAGCTGGTCTCTCACTTTCCCCCAGTGCTGCCCAGGGAACATGGAAATAGGCAGCTGCTTATCTCAGCCACTAGGTTTTGGATTCTTCAGAATGGGGATTCAAACTTTTGTTCTCTGTACCCCTCTATATTTTTATTGCTGATAAAAGGGAATGAATTATTTAGTGTAAAGGGAGAGGGGTTCAGTGTCCGCATCTTTGTGCAGCAGCTCTGTCTTTCCACCAGGTGTCAGTCTGGCCCAGCCTGTTCAGCCACACAAATGTGAAAAGTGAGAGATTTATTGCCTGGTGCTTTTTTTTTTTTTAAACACAAGGCCTACATCTCTGTCCCTTTTTTTTTATTTTTATTTTGAGAATGGGATCCTAACTCACTAAATTACCCAGGCTGGGCTTGAACTTGCAATCCTCCTGCCTTAGCTTTCCAAATTGTTAGGATTATAGGAATATGTCACCATGCCCTATTAGTTTGTGCCCTTTTAAACCTAGGCATGAAGTACTGGGAAGAAACATTTCTTTAAGAAGTTTTGCTTGATCAATGTTTTGCATTTTTGCAGAAAAATTCCAGGATTGTGTTTCTGGAGGATTTCTCCCTCTTCACCCTGGTGTGTAGACTGACAAATCACTATAAATCCTGCACACTGCCACTTAAAGCATACATATTTTTTTATTTCTCATTTAGGAATCCCCATCATCTCTTGTATTATTTCACTTTTATAGAGTTGCCGTTTATCTAATAAACTTAGCTTCATCATTCAGGTGATCTACGTGGCTCGTCATCAACAAGTAATTCTTAACATTTGCATGTGTCCTAATTAGGAAATGATAGAATTATTTGACAAACAGGAGTAGCATACTGGAAGTAGAGGGAACCATTTGGGAAAAACACTGAGTTACGAAACAAAATTGAACATTGGAGGGACCACAAGAAACATGATATTGCCAGAGTTTCTTTTTGGGGAGATAAGGAAAGCACTGAACTACCATCTGTACCATGATGAAGAGTTTAAAGTTGTCTTTTAGGTATTCGTGAACTGTTGAAAGGAACACAAAGAAATGATAAATTACAGGTCCTAATAGGTAAAGCTGGAAGCAATGTGAGTGAATTGGGATGAGAACAGGGAGAGGAGCAGAATCGGAGGCCTAAACACTTCTCAGTGAAACAATGTGGACTCAGCTATATTAAAGATAGAATTGGTGGCAACTTGAGCATGAAGGAACAGAGGACTGGTTGGATGAGAGCAAGACGATGAGGAAAATGTTAAAGCTGAGTCATAGGTTTCTACCAATGAGGAGATACAACAAAAGTGTGTTGGGATGGGAGGAAGACAGTTAAGTATTTCATAGGGTGAATTTGAGGTCTTTGTGGAGCCACGAGGGGCAAATATTTTGAAATTTATATGGATATAAATTTCAAGACAAATGGGACTGGGGATTTAGCTCAGCGGCATAAGCACCTGCCTTGCAAGCGTGTGGTCATAAGTTCAATCCCTGGTACCGGTAAAACAAAAAAAATTTCAAGACAGCCCAGTGGGGTATCACACATCTGTAATCCTACATACTTATGAGGATGAGGTAGAAGGATTGCAAGTTTGAGGACAGTTTGAATAACTTAGCAAAATAAAAAATGAAAAGGGCTGGGGAATAGTTTAGTGGTAACATTCTCCTCGCCTTGATCTATCACACACACACACACACACACACACACACACACAATCAAGAGGAATGGATGTAGTTGAAGTCATCCAAGTAGAAGGTATAGGACTACAGTAAGTAGAGAAACTAAAGGCACAACTCCAGTGTTAACTATTGAGTCAGATTAGACTTGAGATAAGACATAAAGTGCTTACAGTGGACCCAACTCTAGCGAGCATTGATCCACACTGGGATTGTATCTGACTCCCTGCAAAGAAAGGGAAAGAAGCCAAGAGTAGGACAGATGAATGCTTTGATTACTCTGTTCTTGGATTATTCCATGGGGGGCCCTGACCTGATCCAAGTGCTAATTAGATCCCTCATCTATGGATGGCAGAGGGATGATGCCCTCAGAGCTTGGTGATTGTTCTGGACTTTGCCAGGAGTCAGCAGTCAGCAAAGCGTAACCAGAGAAAGAGAGGGAAGGGGGGCCTCAGGAGCTAGCCAAAGGGGCTGCTGGGCTGGCTTGTGCTGTGTTGGGGCCTTTGTCCTACACAATAGGAGCTGGGTTACTTGCTGACCTAGCATTCTGAATATGGGGCTGGGATAGAGGTTCTACATGGTAGAAGCAAAGATTGATGGTCACCTAGTCTATGATGACCATATCTCTACTCACAAACATTGAAATCCCTAGTGAGGATGGTAGGACATGATCATAATAAATTATCTTTATATGTGATTAATTCACAAGACAATTCATTTTTAGTGTAAGGCAGCTAATTCAATGTGTATATTGCTGAGATTTATTTGTCCTTGGTTCAACCCTACAAGTTCAATGAGGTAAATCAAAAAGGTAGGATTTTGTTTTGTTTTGTTTTGTTTTGTTTTGTTTAAGACAGGGTCTCACCATGTGGTTCAGGCTGGCCTCCAATTCATGGCAATCCTCCTGCTTCCGTTTTTTAAGTGCTGGAATTACAGGTGTGCACCACTAAGCCCGGCTTCAGCAAAGTAGGTATTTTTATGGAACTCAAAACTGGCTTACTTTTTAGGTCCTGGATATGAGTTGGCTAAGGAGTAACTGCAGGAAGTGATGAGTCATTCTTGGACCATCTTAGAGGCAGCAGTGGTAATCCATGGGACCAACTGTGGAGGAATGAAGCAGATCACGTAACTCTGCCTGCACATTCCCTGACCT